ATTATGTGGAGGCCACCTTGTGGCATTATGGAAGTAGAATCCAGATGTAAAAAAAATAACACAGCATTAGACTCCATACTGAAAAATAAGGACTCTAAACTGCTTATTTTTTTAGAAACCAAATATGACAGTGATGTGTCATTCTGGCCTCACGTGAATGATTACAGGTGCTGTCCATACAAGTAACAACACAGGAATCTGAGAACATGTGTAGCACCATTCTGTGGGACATAGCTTCTTAACTAGTCAGCTTAATGAATGCTGCAGTTCTTAAGCACGCTGCTTGCATGGTTTTTGAACCATTGCTGCTTAACAGAGATGTAGGGACAAATCTTTACGGAGAACAGGAGCACATGAGGAATGCAGTCATAGTACTGTAAAACTGGCTTCCGGCTTACCATCGTGTTACACCCATACTTGTTCTGCTTGCACAAGGGAGTCTGGAAATTTTTACAGCAGGAAAAGTATGCTCCTTTTCCCTGCACCTAAACTATTAATTAAATTTCCTCCACAAAAGAATGAAATTTGAATTCAGTAAAGATCAGTTCAATTGCAACCAGACAAAACTGGTTATTATCTGGCAATCTCAATGTCAGCATTTGCTGTCTCCTGTGAAGAGTGTGGCAAAGTAGAGTATCCTGTTCATGATTTTGGACATATAAGATGCAAACAATTCTTTCCTGAAAAAAAAACAAAACCCACGTCCTGAAGTAGTTTGTCCAATCAACTTGAGATGACAGCAAACAAGGGAGTAGATGAACGTTACTTCTCTGAGACTTAAAAGTCCTCAATCATATGTGCTGACTCCACGCTGTGGGGATGGATGTGTTGGAGATGTAGAAACTATTCTGACAACTACAGAGTTTACAGGGGATTAAGAGATTTTTCTGCCCCAGCACAGTTTTTTAGGTTGCCAAAGCCCTTTCAGATCATCAAGTCCAACCAGTAACCTACCACTGCCAAGTTCACCACTAAACCAGGTCCGTAAGCACCACACCTACATGTCTTTTAAATACTTCCAGAGATGAGGACTTCTCTGGACAGCCTGTTCCAGTGCTTGGCAACCCTTTTGGTAAAGAATGTTTCCTAATGTCCAATCTAAATCTCCTCTGGTGCAATTTGAGGCCATTTTTCTTCCTGTTACTTGGGAGAAGATATTGACCTCCACCTTGCTACAACCTCTTTTCAGGTCGTTGTAGAGAACAATAATATCTCCACTGAGTCTCCTTTTCTCCAAGCTAAACAACCCCAGCTCCCTCAGCTGCTTCTCATGAGACTTAGGCTCCAGACCCTTAACCAGCTTCATTGCCCTTCTTCGGACAGGCAATCTGTTTGAAGCACAGTGGGATTCTGGAGCAACTGAAGATGGTGTACTTGCATATCTTTCTGCCCCAAGTCCGATGTAGGACCCTCTCAGGGCGTTTTATATTCAGGACAACAAAAAGACTGTTGCTGAACCCAGTCTGCAATCCTGACTTGTTCTGTCTGTGTTCTAACCATTTCTAGTGTAGAACAGAAAATTTCCAGTAGATGGCATTATAATTCCACACTACAATAAATATATTTTAAAAAAAAAATCAGTGCTGAAAAGATATGCACCACAATTTTTGTTAATTCTATATTTAATCATAGTAAGGTTCCTTGGTAAGGAGAGAGCTCAGCAAATGAGTTAACCTGGCTGTGGCCTTTCACTGTACCTTTATGCCGAATTCTTCCATCTACCTTCAGTTGTGTATTCTCATAAATCTGCTGTTATTGGCTGGGCATTTTGATTTCTTCTCACCTCTAATTAATTAGTTTCTCAAAAAAAAAAAAAAATAGGATGTAGCTGTGCTACAGTATTCCAATGCACATGTAGTTCTTATTTATTCTTCATGTCAGCAAGGATTGTATCTTTGCTTCCACTGAACATATGTTAACCAGAATTACTCATCTGGTGTGCTGGGTGTTGTTATCTGTGTACCTATATCGGGGCACTGACTCAAAGATTATGATAAGACTAGAGGCAGATGGCTGAAGCTGCTCCCTGCTTGTCTGGTCAAAGTCAACACCTCTGCATATTACAGCCTGATTTTGGGCTGCTGCTCTTTGTGGTCTGGTGTATTGAAGTTAACTAGTATCAATGACAGGATCATGTTCCTTTTCAAATGTAAATATTTAAATACTAGCCAAGGTGCTATCAGCTTTATGGAAAGAGAAGTTTTCAGAGAAATTGCACTGACATGTTCAAGAGTGAATTAAACGCTTTACTAATGGTGTCCTGTAAGGAAAAAATATATATCAAGTTTTGCTAGCATTCCAACTGTGAAAAGGATTCAGTACAAAAATAAGTTCTGCTACACTGTTTGCAAAGTGCTTTTATCCTTGCAGGATTAAAAAACTCTTGCTACTTAAGAGTATCCAACAGTATCCCAAACCACTTAATTCAGAAACAGCTATGATGGTCTTGGATTTTGATGTTTTGTTCAGAGGGATTTAATGGATCTCCTCTGCTTTTTCAGTTTGTATGTGAAATCACATGTGACAAGAATCTGAGACACAGATTTCGGTGTTATCAGTGTGATGGAATTACATTAATCTAGACCTCCTCTTTGTTCAACCCATTAGGGACTGTCAGCTCTCATCCATCTGGCTGACAGTTCTGTTGTGTTAGTCACAGCTGATTGAAGTAACTCAAACAAAACTGTAAATGTGCTTATGAGCAGGTTAGAACTTCTAAGAAACTTGCCATTTTCTATGTAGCTGTTACTCAATGAATCCATCAATGAAGAGGCAGCTACAAAACAGGGAGGTCATCCTTGATTGCACTTTCAAGTTGTTGGAACTGTTCAGTTGTTTCAATTGCACTGAAGCTGTTGCTTGGCAGTTTTATCTGATTTCTGACCAGAGATTCACTTGAAATCAAGCGGCAGACACGACTTTGCTAATAGTAAAATTCCTTCCAGAAAAAACGAATAGCATCTCCTAGGTGAGGTACTATTTATTTTGATAAATATATACCTGGACGTTTTTATTTCTTTGTTTCCATTTGTACTACTGTTGATCTGGGATTCCTTCTTTTTACCTAGAAGGCAAACACCAATAGCATGATATCAAAACTCACAAACAGACTTGTGCAATCCACTCAAGTGAGTTGCCACTGTAGCTAATCTTAATCGAAAAAAAGTCAGTAATCAATTATTTTCTCAGTCGTGTACACTTAAAAATACAGTAACCGATATATCTGCATGAAATAGAACTTTTATATGTAAAGAAATTATGTGGTTAGAGGACAAGGAACTGTTTACCTAACATTGAAAAGGTTGCATGCCAGTGCAGCTATTGGGTAAAGCATATATGTATGTGTGTGTGTGTGTATATATATATATATATAAAATTAGTCATATATAAAGATTGCCTCTGCAATGAAAGATGCAATTACAGTCAAGGCTTCTACATGAGGATAAAATTCTAGCCAAGATGCTGTTTAATTAGCTGCTAGGTTTGTTAGCAGGACGATACAGAGAGAGAGAAGCTTCTTAGATTAGATTATGAAAGAACAGATGAGGATTTTTTCTTTAGGTTCTCCAAGTATTTAAACCAAGAAACTCTGTAGGGTGTCTTTATGTAATAAAGAAAATACACGCTGTCTGTGAGGTGGTAAAACAGTTTTATTTCAAATTCGGCGCTGCCTTTATCCCTCAAAACCATGTGACTTCCTTGACCAATAGGGTTGTCCATATCGGCGCATGCTCCCTCGGGCACTCTCTCCCTGGTACGTTCCCTCGTACCTTAGACACGTCCCCTACAAAACTCTATTATGTGGGTTATAAAAATAAATTATTTGGTTGAGGAAATCCTTAAAACTGGAGGGCATGATCATTCTTTGTGGTCTGACGGTATCCTAATACAGCTCCTTGAAGATATTTTAAAAATATGAGCATTTTTACAGTAACTGCATGTAAGAACTATTAACACGAGGTGTCACTATGAAGATGGTGTGTCTCTGATGATGTAATGGAAACAGTGTTGTGTCTGTGGCTTTAAGAGACTGCTTAGTAGTTTTACTGGTAAGTACTTCTAACACTATTCAGTTCTGGCATTCTTAGGTTTTCACTCCCCAAACTGGTGGAGGTTAATGCTTTCATGAGCTTATATGATGGAAGAACCTCATAATTGTCTCCAAAGCAGACACAGCTAAAAGATACTGCCAGACAAATAATTCACAACATCCCACTGACATGGGATGACATATGCTTTTCAAATCATGCCTAGTATGATACAATGTTTTTATTATCTGCTGATGACCAGGTTAATCTTGTTTAATGATAATGTTTTCCACATGTTCAGTAATTAACTCTGACATAAATAAGAGAGGTAAAAAGGAAGCAAGTGTAGCTACAACGTGACAATAAATACATATGACATAACACGATGTGCTTCACAAAGGAAAATTAGGGGACAGGGAAGGTACTACATCCCTTGTGGTTTCTCCTGTAAGTCTGTACTCCCCATTAAGTAACACATTTTCATGCTATCGTACTTAATCAGAAACAAACTGCAGTGCTATGAATCACTGCTAAAAGATGACAATTTAGGCCTTTATTTTATGATAAATTTTAATCTTTTGTAAGCTTGTTACTTGTTTTCCCTAGAAAAAGCTTGTTCCTCTTTGCATGATAACTATTAAGATTTAAAACTAAAACGCCTTAAATAGATCCATTACCAAGGAACATACATCTACTTCTTACACATTTACGTTCTTCAGGTTCACATTTCTGCCATTCCACTTTTTGAGCAGCAAATTATCTTATCCTTTGTTTTTACTCACAATCCGAAAAAACAAAGGATCCTGCCCTGCCTTTCCAACGCGTGTGACGCGGGCTGTTGTTTAAGCCAGCGGTGTTTGGGCAGATTGTGCAGTTTAAGCACCGCAGCTCAGCCGCGCCTCTGCCCCTGTCCCAGAGCTCCGGCCCGAGGGGCGGCTCCGGCGCCGCCCCGCCCTCTGCCTGGCGGGCGCAGGCGCACGATGGGGTCGCGGGCAGCGATGGTGGCGCCGAGCGGGGCCGGGGCCGGGGCCGGGGCCGGGGCGCTGTGCCTGACGCTCCTCTGGCTGTCGGTCGCGCCGCTGCCTCGCGGCGCCTGCGGCTCGGAGCTCCTCGGGCCGGCGGAGGTGCCAGGCGGCGCGGGCCCCGGGGAGCGGTTTAAGATCGAGGGCCGGGCCGTGGTGCCTGGAGTGAAGCCGCAGGACTGGATCGCGGGGGCCCGGGTGCTGGTGGACGGGGAGGAGCACGTCGGCTTCCTCAAGTGAGCGGCGGGCGCGGCGGGGGTCGGGCCCCGCGGGGCGGCCCTGGCTGGGCGGCCCTGGCCAGGCGGGGCCGGCGGCAGGCTCGGCCCGGCCCGGCCGTGGTGGGGCGGGAGCGGGGGCGGGGCGGGGCGGGGCGGCTCCTGCCGGGCACGGCCGTGTTCCGGTCAGCCGCGCACGGTTGTGAGATCGCGGAATCACGGGCTGACGAGATGGGCTGCTGGAGTTACGCTGACCCCGTACCTTGTAAGGGACTAGGAACGGCCAGGCCTGCAATGCTGTAGGTTTTGGCCTCAGCCTTCTGCAGGCGTATCCAAACTGATGGCTCAGGCTGCTAGCGTTGTAGCGATCAAAAACATTGGAACAGAGTTATAAGTAAAAACAACTCCAAAACGAAGAAAAACCCCAAACGCGTTTGCACTGTCTGGAGGACAGTGTTTATTCTCAGCTTCTCTTGGTGCAAATTCTGCCACTTCGTTTCAAGAACCTTAGCTTTGCTAAGAATTTACGAAATGTTTGTTGCAGTTGTGGTTCTGTGTTATAGTACCCGTGAAAAACTTTCACTGTACTGGTGAAAGCCAGTTCAAGGGATGACTTTACTGCTTCACACAACATCATGCAAATGCAATTGGAAGTTGTAAAGAATCACATTATCTTATTCAGTCTCAGGTGGTAGTGGGTATATATAAACAAAGGATCTAGAGATTTTAAGACATAGAAAATGTCCTCAATTAAGAATGTCATAGTTTCAAAAGTAGAAGTTACCAAAACCATTCCAGTTATCAAAACAGGAAAACAATTATTTGGTATAGTAAAGTTCTTTTTCGAGTATTACAAGAGTCGTTCTCTTGTATGAGCATTTTTATAAATCTGATTAGTTTCCTCACTGAGGTAAAAATGGAACTTTTTTCTTCTAAAAAAGCCAGTACTGGATACCAGTATATGAAGTGAGAATTTGCTGTGTCATATGAATACATCTTTAGAAAAAAAATTAGGGGAATTTTTTTAAAGTGATACTATAAAGAATGAAAAATTAGAAGGAAGTTCCTAGGGTAACATCCTTCTAGCAATTGCAATATAAGATAGCGTAAGCATTCTTACTGCTTCAAATCATCACATAAAAGTGGGAAGGTGCTTAATTGATGTGCATCTTTGAAAAAGAGCTGGTGTAAAGGGCATAAGGACAAAATTCTTTTTGAGAGTTCCCTTTTTAAGAGGGTTTATTTATTTGTTTTTCTGATGCACGTTTCTAATGTGTCAGGTTTTATTGTGTTTTTTCCCCTTGGAACAACTTTTTTTTGTCTTAACTTTGAGTCTTATTTTTAGAAGAGAGATCATTGCTGTTGCTTTTAACACTAAGATTTTCTTACTGGAAACTTCTGGAAACACATAGGAGGAAAACTTCTGTACTTTTAAGACAACTGGAGCTGAAGCTTTCAAGTATCCTTTTAGTAATTTCACTGAATATTCAAGTTTCATATTTTAAAATAAAAGCCATCTGTATAAAAATCCCTTCTGTGTATATGTTCAGAGCTCTTAGTTTCCTTAGTGTTGTGACTGAGTTTTCCAGTGTGGGCTAGTTCTAAAGAGAGCAATTAAAATTAAACCCCTCTATTTCACAACAAAGGCACAAACTACTATTATTGCGCATTGCAAATCTTCCCTAATATCTACCCACACTATGTAGGATGTCAGTTTGGGGAGGGGGTTTGCTACCCGCAGAAGTGCTGAAGTAAACTTCATTGTATGTATTTCAGAAGGAGGAAAGAAGTGTAAATTCCTTCTGCTGTTACTTGAATACGTGAAATGTAACTACTTCAGATCTTTCTTGGGCTGTTGAATTATTCTTCCAGCAAGACAATAACTTGAGGGCACAACAAAACCTTTAACAAAACTCGTAATTTCTGCTACTGTTGTGGCGTACATTGATGATCTTAAGGGGTTTGATATTGTGAGTGCTGAATGATTTAAATTTTTCTTTTGGCCATTGTTATATTAAGATTTATAATATGAAATGATAGTCTTACAACCTCTTTTAAAAAACGGGAAAGCATGCTGTCTTGTATGCTGGAGCATATTGAAATGTAGCGCAACTTACTGTTTTTCAGGACAGATGGAAGTTTTGTGGTTCATGATGTACCTTCAGGATCTTATGTAGTGGAAGTTATATCCCCTGCTCATAAATTTGAGCCCGTGCGAGTTGACATAACTTCAAAAGGCAAAATGAGGTGAGCCTTTCCTGATTTGCTTCTGTGTTGGTGTATTACGTGTTCCTGACAGCACAGTACAAGAATTAATGTAAACAGTGCTGTAGGTCTGATGTTCCATTTCAGAGCATACGTTTTAGCTTCTTTTAACATCACTTTTAGGAGCATGTTTCTTAAAATCCGAAGTCTGATCTCTTTCTTTCTTTTTATATTTATGGCCTTAAATAAGAGAAAATAGATTTTAAAAGTCTTTCTGTTTACTTTTATTATCTTCTTATGCAGCTATCCTGAAATAAAATCTGGGCATGAATCAGTTATCTGCTTTATCATTTGCCAGTACCTTTTTTTCCTTCTTCCATATTCCATTTCTTTACTAAATGTTCTGTCCGGATTTGGCACAGTGAAACTCCAAAGTATTTCTGTTACATTCCCATAGGAACTTGTTACAGTTACTGGTTAATAGTAGTAGTTGCTAGCCTGCAGTATTTCTGTAGCATCATTAGCTTGTTTTTTATGTTATGGCAAGATACGTTATACCAAACCACTCTAACTGTACACCTATAACTGCAAGCTATTCAGAAATACAGAAAAACTATATATCTGATGTAGTAAGGTGATTTTCATTTAAATAAACGTGTTTGTAGTTAATTTTTCTTTGTTCAGGCAGACATAGAGTTTCTTAACTTTATTATTGTCTTTTACAGTATCTTCTAAAAGTTAGCATTACATTTTAGAAATACAAACATCAGTATAAATATTCCAAGAGTATATTTAAGGGAGGTTAAAAGTTGAAAACTCACTGAAAATGGTGCTTGTTTAATAACAGAACAATTTGTTTGAGCTTAGGTTTTTTCCAAACTTTATGTAATTTTTATTTTTATAGTTCGTTAGGCAATATCTTACTGGCAACAATATGTAATAAATATGGACAAATAGACACAATAGTGTGTTTAACGTCACCCCTAGCACTGTTTGGGTATCTGAAGACTAGTAAGGTTACAAATTTGATATAAAGTAAATTGGTAGGATATGTCTGCAGAGGAAAGTCGCAGTAGGCTTGCCATGTCTGCCAGTCAAACAGGTAGAAACTAATGAGGAATACAGCTGAGGAATCAGAGATGCATGAAAAACTATGATACTTGAGGAAAATGTCAACAGGGCTTTTCTAGGGAACATTCTGCCTTAAAAAATTAACGTAATTCCTAGAAAGAGGAAAAAAGAATATTTGATAAGATCTACTTTAAAATCTCAAGTTTTGGAGAAAATATTTAGTTATAAGGTAGGCGGGAAAGACATTCTGTGGATGAGTATTTGATGAAAATTTCAGAAGGAATAAACTATTTCTCTTGTAATGAGCAGAAGCCATCCTTGGAGTTGCACCAAGGCAAGTAAATATTCGTAAATCATGAAAAATGAGTCAAGAGTGACAAAGATGGTGGTAACTGAGTAACTATCTAAATACCAGGCCCAAATAAATAATATGAGTGAAGAGCTATGGAAAAACCTGATAAAGTAATGAAGACTGAGATTCAGTATTGATAAATGCAAAGTAATGCACTTAGGCAAAAGGTATTAACTTCACATACAAATAATTGATCCCTGAGCAAACTGGTTAAACCAGACTATAGTATGCAAAGCTGTATCTGTCTTTATACAGTGTAGTTTTTCATCTTCATTACCAAGGTGACAAAAAATGGCTTGTTTTTGATTCCGTAAAAGATGCTGCTGAGAGGAACTAGTTTCTGAAAAGTGAAGCCTAATTGACACTGCATAATTTTGTTTGTAGTCTATTATTAAAACTTTGTTTCGATTTTTTTTTTAAATCATCTTTTATTTTGTTAAAGATTCTATAATTATATTTTCGATTACTCACATTTTGCTCATTAGAGCAAGATACGTGAATTACATCAAACCCTCTGAAGTTGTCAGGCTGCCATACCCACTGCAGATGAAATCTTCTGGACCACCTTCATACTTTATAAAGAGAGAATCTTGGGGATGGACAGATTTCCTCATGAACCCTATGGTACGTACAAGCAACACGCAAAGGTTAAAAGTATGCTAAGGATCCAAATACAGCTGTTTTTCAGAATACCAAGAATAAAGTAAATGAGAAAAGGTGTACACACTTTGCTCTTCCGAGAGGATTGTTTTATTTTTTTTCATTTGCATACAAATAGAAAGTTTTTCTGTGCCTTCTCCTTCCTTACGTACCCACTCTGTGAAAATAGCCTGTAGTCTGCTTCATTTGACAACATGATCTTGTTCTAATAATGTGGAGATCAACATGTTGCAGAATTGTAATTACAACAGTTTTAAGATGTAACAACCATTTGCTTTATTGCAATAGATTTTGAAATCATATTATTTAAAGCACAATACTCCCTTACCAGGTTTCTTTCCTGACAAATGGATTACCGTTACTGGGTTACTGACTCGGAATGCAGTGGTTCTAGAATTTGACTGTTTAGCTAAAGCTTTATGTTAGTGTTTCTGAAAGTGTCTAGAGCAACAACTAAGCTGAAGAAGTATTTCCTGCTTTCTGTGTAGGTGATGATGATGGTTCTTCCGTTACTGATATTTGTGCTTTTACCTAAAGTTGTCAACACCAGTGATCCTGATATGAGGCGGGTAAGTAGGTTCAGTTGATGCATACATAGAGACCAAAGATAATGAGATTTTAGGGAACAGAGAAGCAATAAAAACGAAACTGGACTTTTAAAGGGGTCTTAATGGGCATCATTTATTCAGTTAATGCAGTGTTGCTGTTCTAACATTTCCTGACTCATGAATTTGCTGTTAAACAGCACAACACAGAATTAAATTATTTGCCACAACTTTGAGGCTGTTACAGCATGAATGGTGTTTTCCAGACTTTATTTAGAGTGATAAATATAATTTCTCAAAGGATTTTTTTTCTGTAAATTTCCAGTATATTTTTGCACTATATTTAAATCTGGCACTTTATTTTTAGACATCATTTAATAAGTGTGTATTGAGAAGAGTATGATTTGGGGTTCTCTTTCCCATCAGGCTAAAGCACAGTTTACTATGTTAAATCCAGATGTCACAGAGTCTTAATGTAGTCATTAAATTGCCTGATTTATTGTCCTTTCATCATGCAAAATGCCGAATAGCAGAAGGCTAGGACAAAATGGAGATTCAAGGTGTTTGCTAAATCTTTTCTTATTTTTAGAAGTATTCCTTGTCTGTCATGGGTGGCTGTTTTTTGAAGGCTTGGTTAACTAAAAACTCCTTCTCCCCTAAATGACCAGTGTCTTCAGTAGTACTTTATAGGTGTCTGAATCTTTTTTTTTTTTATAAGTAATACCTATAAAAAGCATATCAGAGCTATGTAATGCTATTTTGGCTGTAATTTTCATTTAAAAACAGATACAGATATATGCTAGATATACATAGCATGTTCTTCAAACCAAGCTGAACTCTGAAAGTTGAATTTAAAAAAAAATCACTTATTCCTTACTTTTTTCACTGGCCTGACACTGCTTACAGGCAGGCCATTCTGACGGTAATACCATCAGAACTTCTGATGATTTAGTTCTTATTAGCTGACCAATATGACTTGTTAAGGAGAAATTTTTAGTTGAAGGAATTTTGCTTGTAATTTAAATTATCTTTAAAGAGTAGGAAAAGGGAGTTTTTAAGAACTCAATTGTAGTGGTATTCTCTAGATGACCATGTATTAAATTGTTAAGCGTATATCCAAATTCCATTTGTTTTTGGAGTGTATAAAGCTTGTATAATATTTTTCAAGTTAACTTGTTTTTTATTTATGGAATCAGCACAGTACTAGTCTGTGTAGAAATGATTAATGATTTAGTGACTGCCTGTTGTGGAGGCTTTAAGTGTAGATGTAGTGTGGATGCAATAGTAACAAAGTCTAGCAAAATGCCCCGAAATATATCATTCTGAATGGTAACTAGAAGAGCAAGGTGACAATCCCACATTAAATTGGTAATTGCTGTAAGCGTTATCCTATTGTGGATGTGCAGTTAAGCTGTTGTATGCACTTCAGGGGTGGTTTGTTTTGAAACATGCTAATTCATCTCATAGAACCACTACGCTAAATTCTAAAGTTACATTAAGCTTACCTGGATATATGGTCTCATTAAAATCCTTCTTTTTGTGAAGCAAAGAAAACTCACGTGCTGTACTGCAATAGCTTAATGTCAGAAAGTAGGGCAATGAAAATATCTAATCCCTTCAAACAGCAAGAAAAGTTTGTTACATTTAGCATAAATAATACTAATTTGAAAACATCAAAGTGTGAATCTATGAAAGCACAGATCTGAAAATCTAAACAAAAGCTTAAATTTTAAAATGGAGGAAAGTAGTGCTGAAAATAAATAATGACATTTTTTTCTTTAAGATTATTTTTTTATCAGATGTTTGCCCTGTAAGACTGCTTAAGACATGGTTACCATTTTCCATATACCAGTGCTTTTAGTTTTGGGGTTTTATGTTTCTGTATGTAGCTGGGTGTTTGGCTGTGCTTGCATGAAAATATATAGCAATATGTACCTTGGAGGACTACAAATAGTGAAACAGTATTTTGGGAAAATTTGAAATCTTTCTGATACAATCAACTGATGCCTTAACTACAGCCAGAATTGTTACAAGCTATTAAGATTATCTGATCTTTGCATGCAGGAAATGGAGCAATCAATGAACATGCTGAATTCCAACCATGAGCTGCCAGATGTGTCTGAATTCATGACAAGACTTTTCTCTTCAAAATCTTCCAGCAAGTCTGGTGGTAGCAGCAGTAAAGCAGGGAAAAGTAGTTCTGGAAAAAGGAGGTAGTTGAGTCTTCAGTTTGCACAACTGTTTGTTATGTGCTGTCATGTTTATTTGTCCTGAAAGATCAAAAAGCCACTACTGTAAACTTTAACCAGGCAGAAAATCAGTATGCTACAATTGTAGTTTGTAGCTTTTTTTTAGACTGTTATAAGCTGTTTTGTACTTGACAGTAAGCAAAAGAGGACATGGCTTCAATACTGTATCTGTATAAAGTTACTGGTTATACTGAATTAACTATATTGTTCTGTAGAGACTTAAAATAAATTATATGATGTGCTTCACAGTAATGAATGTCTTAAGACAATGTATAAAAATATTTCAAAGATAATACAAGTGGAGTTCAGTCTTAAGATGTCTTTAATGTTTTACACTTGCTTGAGTTCTGAAATGAACAAATCACCCTTTCAAAATTGAGTTGTGGGTTTACTAAGTAGTTTGCTGTATCAGCTTGTCTGATGTTACATATAAAATAATTTTATGTTGTTTACTGCCTACACAATTTACACAACCACATAGTGGGTAAGGTTGGAAGGGACCACAGTGGGTCATTGGGTCCAAGCTCCCTGCTCAAGCAAGGTTGTCCTAGAACACGTGGCACAGAATTGCATCCAAATAGTACTTGAATATCTCTAGTGAAGGAGACTCCACAACCTCTCTGGGTAATCTTTAGTTCAAAGACTTTCCACTTTGTATTGCCCAGTTTTATTCTGATCTACTTCCTGCTAAAAACTCTTTGGGAGAAAAAAAAAGCAAAGTATCTTTCATCAGAAAGTCCTTTAAGCTGTCAAGTTAATTATGAATCAAGGTATCTGTATAACATGATGAATGTTTATCTTGGATCTTTTCTTTCTAAATCACATGTATCATTTCTGCAACATTTTTGCTTCTTACTGTTTTCTGCGTGCTGTGCTTTCATCTTATTGGTGGTATGATTTGAGGCCAAATACAGAATTTTAAATGACTTGAAAATTAAATCATTTTAAAATGAAAGAAAAGAACTAAAAGTGTAGTAGGAAGATAAATCCCACTCATCTTTTAAATTATATTTCAAAGTATATGGCTGTTACTAAGTATGCTGAGTCACTGGCAAAACTTTGTTCTTGAGCATGCCTGTGTGTTATGCAGTATCTTTTCAAGCTACCGGGTAACTTCAGAGAAAAGTAGAAATAATTGATTGTTTTCCACTAGCTGAACATTTGCAAAAAGTGACATCAATACCTGTCAAACCACATTAGCAACTTACAAGACCCCAGGCTCGCCCCACGAGCTCATCAAAGAGGTTTTACTCTAAAAATATACAAGGCTCAAAAAATCCACTCACTGGATTTATTAAAAGGGCCTTCAGGTCTTTTATACCTTGAGAGAGCGCACAGTAAAGGGTGCTGCACACGTTACTCAGCAGGTTAAATGACACGCTTTTACTGACAAACTTTAAAAAATGAGGGAACTTGACAAAAGTTTAAAGGGCAACATTCAAACAAATTAAAGCATTTCACAAAGCAATGACTTAGCACCTGCTAGCCCATACAGCTTAGCAAAATCCAACCCATCCAGTTTTTAGTTACCCAAATATCAAGAAAGGAGATTAGGAGAAGAAGTAAAGAAAGAGGGAGAAAAAGAGAATTACAGCTACCACCCCAGATCCAGCATAGATCCAGCTACCAGAAGTCCAGGAGATGGCAGGGTCACAGTTACACGATGGCTGCATGGTGCTGGTTTTATCTGCTCTGGCCCCCTGTGGCCACCCCTTCCAGGAAGGACTTCTGGCCCACTGGCCACTTTGGAGTGCCGGGGTAGGGTGAGGGGCAGTGTTCAGGTGTACCAACCATTCTGGGGCTGGATCAGAGGCTCTGTGGGGTGTGGTGTGGGCAATGCTCACTGGTGTGCCAGTGACTGACAGCTGCTCTGGGGCTGCTCAAGGAGGCTCCAAGGGGCTGGGGTGTGGGACAGGACACTATTCCACCTTGTTGAAATTTGACCTATTCCCCCCACCCCATTCCCCACACACTTGACTAAGTCCAAGCCAATAATTAATATAATAATCCAGTGTCTCACAACCATCCATAAATATTTTTTATTCAGCATAAATGCTGTTCTCTTCCATTTTTACAATTGCTAACTTCTTAGGTAACAGTACTGTGCAGTGTCGGTAATGTATATCTGATTCCCAAAATGGGTTTAACATTTAACATTCACCTACAGTACACCTGAAGCAAAATCAGTTCTAATACATTTATTTGTTTTGCCAAACACTTGTGAGAGGTATAAATTTTCTTAGAATACATACTTAGAAGAATGCTGTGAAACATAAAAGCTGCAAAAGAATAAGTACTCATTCATAGGATTAAGGCAGCTTTTAAGATGTTGGAGAAGAAATATCCCAATGATTTTGTGGACAACGAAGACTTCAGTCTTTGCACAGTAAGCTGCACAGTTTTGCTCCCTTTTTGTTTTGCTTGAATGGTCTTTTTGTTTCATGTATTAAGTAAAATATATTCAATGGTGACAAGAGAATATTTGGATATTCTTGCTGAAAGGATTTACTGAAACGAATGTCACGTTGCCTTGGTGGAGAAAAACAAGCAAGCAAACAACCTCTTTCAGAGTACCTTGCTGAAAATGTTTTATGAAAAACGAGCAGTCTTTTGAAGATGGAGCATTTAGCATTGTTACTATGCTGTCCTGAAAGTACAAGCCACAAGTCACTTTTGTTTAACAGCAGTTGGAATGACAATTGCATTAACTTGTTCTAAGCACAGTTTGTTTGGTAGTTAATAATCATAGTGATGCATTTTTCCATGTTAGGTAGGAACAGCAATATTTCTACCTTCTTTCATTGTGTCTGTTCACATTCTTGATTCGTCTTCAAGGGAGAATGGAGATTTCAGGCCATGAAAAGATGAAAGTCTTTGTTAAATGTTCAGAGTAAAAAAGTTGACAGGAATTGTAAAGATCCTAGTAAAACTTTTAAAGGAGCATATGGAATATTAAACACTTCTCTTTTTCTTAGAACTTATATATAAAGGTCCAGGCAGTTTCTTTGTGCATCAGGATCAGATGCAGTGTACCTCTCCCTTGCCTTCCTCCTCAGAAAATTCTCCCCGACTCTCAGAAACCTGTTATCTGAAAAATCCAAGCCTTTGGTCAGTTGGGGTCAGCTGTCCCAGCTGTGTGCCCTCCCAACTTCGTGTGCATCTCCAGTCCCCTCACTGGCAGGGTGGGGTGAGAAGCAGAAAAGGCCTTGGCTCTGGGGGAGCACTGTGTGGCAGTAATAAAAATGTCCCTGTGTTATCAACACTGTTTCCAGCACAAATCCTAAACATGGCCCCATACTAACTGCTGTGAAGGATATAACTGTCACTGCCAAAACCAGCACAGTCAATTAAAGTTGTAATGTGGTCTTGGGCTATCATAAATGCCACTAGGCAAAACTTACTTGATAGCTTTGCTGTTGCGGTTACTATTATAATGCAAGGTTTTCTTTCTGCAGAAAGTAAAATTTGCTACAGTTCAGTTTTGTTTTCTTATTTACAGATTTTTAGTAGTCTTTCTTCTGTGTTAGGTCTGGCAACTCCATTTTCCCCCAAAAAAATGTAACTGCTTTTTAGTGAGGCTATTTGAGATAAGGCAGACTATGTTGGAGCAACTGATACCTCAGAACAGAAAGTAAAGATTTACAGAATCTGCTTGGACTATAGACAAGCTGATTTCCTTATTGGCAAAAAGAGGAAGACTTCCTCTTCTTCGACTGGGTAACCCTGCTGCCTTCTGACTACAAGTTCTGGTACAAGTTCTCAGGCTTTGTCTTTCGTTGACTTAGCAAGAGAAGTCGGTTCATCTTTCTGCTAGATTTCTCTTATGTTTTAGAGAGTTAAATCAGCTCACAGAAGGATCAAAGAAATCCTAAGGCTAGCAGAAAGTAAGTGCCAGAAACATGCAGTCAGAGACAGGAATTCTTTGTTTCTGGCACTGAGTGTGCGTAATACAATGAACTCACTGCGTCTTAAGGGTTTGTAGTTGAAGTGCTCATTTAGCTACATTGTGAATGAGTGGGCAACTCAGTTTATGACAGGCCATGTAGAAGGGAGAGGAGACATATTTTGCTGAAGCCTGTTTTAGCTATTAGTCATTTAAGATGGCCTGGAAGGTGTTTAGAACAGTTTGAAATAATTTTATCAATTACATCATCAAAGATGCTTACATTCTTCACATATGAAGAAAAAAATTAATGCATAGCTATCTCACCTCACTGTTTTGAACAAAAAATATTTGTTGATGCTCTTTATATTTTTGATGAAGTGGGGACAATAATGTCTCCATAAATGGGGTATGCATTGCTTCACAGAGACAAGCTGGCTTGTGGTTAGGATTTGTGTTTGTGAAAAGGACTTTAGAATCAAGGCCTTAGGTCCTGATACAACTGTTGGACTTTGTGCAAATCATTTCTGATTTCTGTTTCAGTTTCTTGTGTGTGAGGTACGAGAAGCTTGTCTCATAAAAGTAGTTGCGAAGATAAATTTAGTAATGAATATTGGGTACTCAGATAGCATGGCTATGAGCTGACTGAAGAAAATCCAGTATGTAATCTTGTTAAAAAGTACCTTTGTTAAGCATTATTATGTAGCTCTTGATATGTATCTATTAGAGCAACCCGTTTCAGTAACCGCATGTCAAGATTTTCAAAGCAATCTAGGCAATTTTAAGTGCGTATCATTTTCCAACTTAGTGAAAAGTATATTAAATCACTAAGATCCATTTAAACATCTCCACCTGGGTGTTAATGGACCTTGAATTGCATAAAAGTCATGTGTGCTCAGTACCTCAAAGGGCAAAGTTTCTTTTACAGTTTGATAAAAGACCCTATTTTTAAAGGCTAACAGTGATAGCAATACCTTAAGGTACTAAAAGGATTTCACTTTCTTGTCTGAAACATCATGTCTGACCTTAATCCTGCTCCTATTAATAGTGAGTAAATAGTGAATTTGTATTCCTATAATTTTATGTTTCATTTGAAACCAATTTGAAAATAACCGATATAAAATATAAATAATAACAAATCCTTAGTTGTTTTCATTCTGATGTGTTAGAATGAAATATGGATACATATGGTTATATATTAGACTTATTTAACAAACTGAAGGAAAATACAAGTTGTTTACATCTACTGTTGATGGGCTAAGAAAGAACTTAAAATTTTGTATCAGTGGAAAAACAGATTTATTGAGGAAAGTATGTTGAAAGGTTAAAAAAATACATATGCACATTTTGCACATTCTTGGGCAGGAAAAGCACAAGATGCACCTATGGTACACATGTGGGACCTTGGGAAGGTCCTATTTAATAGGCTTAATTGTGGTCTGTTAATTATCTCCCATGTCCAGTGAAGTTCTCTGATGATGTTTCATTTTGTAAAATACTTCAGGTATTTTACTAAACTGTTAGGAGAAAAATTTGGAGAAAGACCCCAAAGGTAGAAGAAAATTTAAACATTGCTGTCATGGCATATTTGACACAAATATTAAGGTTTGCAAAAAATTGTAGATGAAAAATATTTTTGTGATGTTCTACAGACATTTTTTTCTAGATGACCATAGCGTTGGCAGTAGTGCCAGCATATATGGACAAATGGTTATAAGTGAGCAAATCAACTGTAGTCACAGCTTTTAGGAGAGCACTGATTTCTGGTTTTGCATGTTACCCAGGTGAGTGAAGAAAAAGCTGTGATCCCATGTTTCTTTCC